TCAACGTTAAATGTTCATGCCATGTGTTTGTACATAATTGGATAACTGATCCCTTAAATATCACCGTTAACAGTAGAAATAGTAACAGCCAATTACTTCGTCCAATGCACCACTTTCTTTCCTACTGAGTTCTGTTAAACTGACTTTTAAACGCGATGATTCTGTTAAACTTATTTCTAATCATCTATATTGAACGGGTTTTTCTAATCTTCTATATTGAACGGGTTTTTAGCAACGGATAATGAGTTAACAATATATCCTTAAAATTTGTAACTTGTTATCCATATAAATACACTGGTTGTGTTAAATGATAACCCTCGTATTAAAACATTGAGAGATTGATTTTAAACGTATTTGTGTATCCTTCAATCAAGTGCTGTATTTAGAGATACTTGGAGACTTTTATCCTCAATCAGGTTTGCTGTATTTTTTTTATTTTTTTTTACTTTTTACTAGATTTTAGTTAGTATTATATATATAACAGTTATTTTTATAGAGTTATACATCTTCATCTTAAATATTTATATATATAGGCTGATTATAGTTTTTTCATATGCAATCCAATGATATTACTAGTTTTGTCTATTACATTACTTTGTAAATATTCTGACACATTATTTGTTAATTAAAGTCAATTAGATATCTTAGGAAGTAGATACAATAATTATCAAGTATTCTATAATATTAATAGTTAGTAAAATAATCTAGGAAGTTTTACAAAAAATTAAGCAAATAGGTGAAATAGAGATATATAATTTATTTGTACTATTACTATTTAATAATAATAGTGAGTATTCAGCTAGAAATTTAATACATCTTGCCTTGAGTTATTATATATATATATATGTGTGTGTGTGTGTGTGTGTGTGTGTGTACATTAATAAAAATGTATTCATGAAGAAGTATATTCATGTATCCTCTATTGTAAAGCTAAATAAGTGTGGCATGCAGAAATAAAAATAAATTTATATATTCATGTTAAGAAATATATTTTTTTACATGAAGACCAATATATACATTATTTTACAATAAATTTGTACATAGTTTATGTTATTTGACTAATAAATTCTTTATTAACTTGTATATTTTCAACGCAGGTTATTTATACATAATGGATTCGACTGGCTACGAATTGGATTCTAATAGCTCATCATCAAGCGACGATGCGTTTTCGCTAACCAAGCAACTAATAGACAAGCCGTTAGGAGATGATACATTTTTTGAGGAATCGAACTGCGAGGTTGTACAAACTTGTTCGTTTCACATTCCTGTGATAATGTCTTCATTCTTAACAAGCACCTCACGCCCTCATGGTGGAACGACTAGTAGTAGACGCTATATTCATCGAGATAGGGAAGGACGTCATGAATTAATTATCAATGACTATTTCAAAGGCGATGACTCAAAGTACACACCTGAACATGTTCGCCGTCGATTTCGAATGGATATAGAATTATTCAAACGCATTTTACAAGCAATTGAAAATTATGATGACTATTTTACGCAAAAGGTAGATGCAGTGGGGAAAAAAGGGCTAAGTCCTCTACAAAAAATGGTCGCGGCAGTACGCATGTTGGCGTATGGTTGTGCAGCTGATCTCCTTGATGAATATGTGCAAATTGGAGAAAGCACGACAATTGAGAGCTTAAAACATTTTTGTGATGCTATCATTGGAGTTTTTGAAAAACAATATTTGAGAAGGCCAAATAAGTATGACATTGCTACCTTATTAAAAGAAGGCGAGGCTCGGGGATTTCCAGGTATGCTTGGTAGTTTAGATTGTATGCATTGGCATTGGAAAAATTGTCCTACGGCGTGGCAC